GCATAGACCATGAACCCCTGCGAAACCCCTTGAGCCCCAACGTTTTTCTTTCATTGCTTACAACCTTAGATTTCCATTCTGCTTTTATTCGCTTGTTACTTGTTTTCATTCATAACCGATTTTTACTTGCTTGCACTTGCTTTCGTTTTTATTTGCTTTAGTTGCTTTTGTTCTTAAATGCTTTTGCTTGTTTTGCTTTCTAGTTTAGATTTAGTGACAACCAAAACCCAAAACCAAAACCCAAACCGTTTAGTTCTAATATGATTTAAGCGTAGCCGCGAATTCGTACTGAAACAACTAAGTCTCTGTGGATCGATACCCTAAGTACTACAGCGCACATCTGTGCACTTGCAGACATTTAGGGATTATAAATTTAAAACCTGAAGCTTAGTAAAACGAAAACAACAAACCCCGCTTTTGCTCGCATCAAGGGGGGAGGAGAAATAGAGAGAGATATATAGAAAATGATAAGGAGAAATGGAGGGAAAGACAAAGGGATGGAGAGGATAAAGAGAGAGAAAGGAAAGAGAAATTGAGTTAATGCTTTCAGTGATATGTAGATGGAGAGAGAGAGAGAGAGGATAGAGAAATGGAGAGAGAAAGAGAAAGGGGATAGAGTTAAATTTTCAAGGTACATATAATTGATTGTTATTAAATCTTTATTAGTTTGTTTCCTTTGTGTTCCAATTTTTTTAATCAGAAACACTTCATACTTTAAAAGTATGATATGGAAGGAGAATGGGATGGAGCTACGGAGATAGAGTCGTACTTTAAATGTAGTTATCTCAATTGTATGATATAAACAATTTTGGAGGAGGGAGGGATGGAGGGTGGAAATAAGAGAGGGGGCAGGAGAGATAGAGAGAGATATATAGAGAATGATAAGGAGGAATGGAGGGAAAGACAAATGGATGGAGAGGATAAAGAGAGAGAAAGGAAAGAGAAATTAAGTTAATGCTTTCAGCGATATGTAGATGGAGAGAGAGAGAGGATAGAGGGATGGAGAGAGAAAGAGAAAGGGGATAGAGAGTTAAATTTTCAAGGTACATATAATTGAAAGAAAACGAAGAAGAAGACGTGAGAGAAGAAGGAGAAATAAATGTGGAAGAATATGAAAAAGAAATAAGGAAAAGACAACAAAGAAGAAATACCAAAATGGTAAATTGTAGGAAAAAAAGAAGATGAAAAACGATTATGTGAAACTCGTGTTTGTCTTAATTTAGTTGGTTTGTGAGTTTCATACACTTAATTACTATTGCATTTTAGATATTTAATTTTGGATCGTGTTTACTTTTTAAAGTTTGTTTTATTTTTATCATGTATGTCTCAAATGTTTCTATAAATTTTATTCGGTTTGCAACATAATATTTTTTTTACATTTTTCAATAATGGTTGTTTTTTAGGTGTTCTTATGATTTGTTTTAGACTATTTGCCTAAAGGTTTTTACAAATCATGTGGTTTTTTTCAGTAAGGTGAGATTCGGAGAGGCATACCATCAGAAAAGTTTTTTCATTTCTTTCTTAAAAAAATTAATTTCACAAGGGCATAGGTAGACTAGCAGACAGGCGCTTTATTCTGCAGTCTTCAGCACATATATGCATTATCTCACCAAATTAAACATTTACAAGTGAATCAAGTTTTAACTACACATTTACTATACGAAGAGTGTTGAAAAAAATCGGATATATTGCAATATATGTTGATCAGAATCGATGATCATGATTAAGAGCTTTTGACAATGAATTTTATATATTTAAAAAAACAAGTGTTTCCAAATGGTTTTAGTACCACATAATTAATTCAACAAAATTTTGAAACCCCGCGGTCCGCGCTCTGACGGTGAGCCAACTAGTCTACCAAGAAACATCAACAAATGATAAAACAATATGCAGGATATAATGGGTATAAATAATTAAAAAACAAAACAAAAAACAGATCAATTGCACATTATCTAATCTGAAACAAATTATTTTCCCAAAATATCATCTACAGTGAACGAGAGGGAGTAATAAATAGTGTCTAGATAACAAACAAAGTATATAAATGTGTTAGAAGATAATTATCCATTTGAATAAGTTTAATATTTACTTGTACTTTGAAGTTTCTTTCGCCGACTTGAGTAAGTCGGTAACTTTGGTTATATTTAATGTACTTAAGGCTAAGAAGAGAAGAACATCAATAATAGAAATTGTTTTCTCTACGCTCACGTTTCCTTTCTCGCCTCTTTCTCTCTCTCATATTCATATATACAAAACATACACATATTTCATCCTTTCTTTGATCCCAACCAAGTCAATTTCATCCAAAAGTCAACATTCTACTACCTGTGATTTTCTAACTCAGTCTTTATATACATATATTTATAATTTATAGTTTATAATACGTTATCCGATCGTCTCACGATCCGTTTCTATACAGAAAAGATAAGATTTAATTTATGTTCAATCTGTTTATGTTTATATACTATAGTTAGGATGGTAGACGATGCCTTCTTCGAACCTATTTTTATGGCAAACTATATCTCCTCAGATCAAATTTATGGTTGGTTTATAATCATATAGTAGATATCTCCTCAGATCACTAAAGGATTTGATGCATAATACAAGGCCCAAAGATAGGTTATTTGGATATGTTTTGGTCATAAAGTTGGATTCATTTTGAACTTGAAGTATCATCATCTCGAGGGGAAGAATTAAAGAATCTCATATCAAAAATAGTAGAACATCTTGAAGATTATGTTCACACTTAAAATGGGTTTTATAGATAATTTATAAAGCGATCTAGAAGACGGCAAGATCAACAATGGTGAAATTTCTCCATGTTTTGGTATGGAAGAGCTATTGAATGAGATTCTTTGAAATGAATTATCATTATGGATCCTCGTATAAATGATTTTGAACCTGAAGTTCAAAGGATAAGTCATATGTAAATGTCAGACATACAATGAAAGAAAATTTCAATTCTAGCTCAAAATGCTCCAAGAATGTCTCTGAATGATGAATTATCAATAAAGAGTCTATGGCACGTAAGAAACGTGATAGACTACTTTGGTTCCAACTATGATCTTCCATCTAAAAAGGAGAAAATATATGAGGATGATCTCCGGAAGAGACCGTTGATATGGTTGATAAGTGGCGATTTTGGCTCATTCTAACCCGTGTTTACCAATCTTTTTAGGAGTCTTTGGAGTCTTTTTCAGGTTGTTTCAGGTATCTAGGGAGCTTTAGGCGAGGATTGGAGCAACTGGAGCTTTTGGTACAAAAAGGAGTTGAAGCTGAGCAAAAGAGGCCAATTTACACACAGTTGGACCATTCTTGCTCGGGAGCACCTGCTCCCAACTAAGCCCTTTTGTGGAACACCTGCTCCAACCGCCTGGAGAAAAATAAGGAAAACGATTTTTACCTAATTCTGGGATGCAGGAAGCGAATAAAAGACTAGAGCTGCCTCAAAAAGAGAACCATGTTTTACAGAATTTCTTTTACGCTTTCTTTTACAATTTTCTAGACTTTTGGAGTTTGCTTGTAAGATTCGGGAGAAGAATCTCTGCTACACTTGAGAAGAATTCTGAACCCTCTTGATATCTCTGAGTTTTTATTCATGAATTCCTTTTCATCTTTTGTTGTGTTTCTTTTTTCCATGTCTGAGTAGATCTCTTAGCTAGATTAAGGTTTTCAAAGGATTTCATGAGTTAGAGTATTGGCTACAAATAGGGCTTAACATCGATTGTCTTCACCATTGTTGAACTTAACGCTTTGGTTGAACTGATCACTCAATTTACGATTTTAGGTTAATCTATTCATCAAAAGTGTAATAGGTTGCTAGAACAAACTTTGGTGAGCGATTTGTCCTTAGCCAACGACAGTTGATGTTAAGTCAAATCGTGAACAGATCAAATCTGATTGTTAATGCTTGTCTGCAATTTTTTAGGTTCAAACGATAGTTTAGAATTTAGGTTGTTAGACAAAGTTATCGGTGCCACGACAGTGGGTCGGTATACATTTATGTTTGAGTTCGAGACTTGCGTTTAAACTGTGCCCTGTATAATCATCTGAATCTTATCTCTGGAACTCCTGCGAATTTCCTTAGTCTAGTGCTTGTTTTAATTTGAATTCAAATCGTTTGTAGTTTGCTTTTACTTGTCGTTAAAGTCACAATCAAATTATATTTTCTCTTAGATTTTTTTCAGTCCTCGTAGAGTCATAGAGTAGCATTTGTCCTCTGGATTTCGAATCCTTTATATTACAATTACAAGCTGTTCTACTGCAGTAGAAACTAGGAGATAAATCTAAGTTGAATCAATTTTTGGCGCCGTTGCCGGGGACCAATTCGTTACCTTTGATTCTTGGTTAGAAATTCAGACTAAGACCTTACTAACTTGCTCTCTTTTTCTCTTGTCTGTGTGTGTTTCAGGTGCAAGACAAAAAGGTCCACAAGAAGAAACTGCACCGAGGATCTGGTTACCTTGTCAAACACCGAGCTTGCAAGAGTAGAGCGAGAAAACAGATGTCAAAGGCCTAATTCAGCCAACGTGGGCGATCAAGGAAACAATAATGAAATGGCTGTCGAACTACAACAACTTCGACAGCAATTGGAGCAGCTTCAGAAGGCGCAGCAAGACAGGGAGCAGCAACAGTCTGCCATTGGAGATAAAGACAATCTGCATGCTTTTTACCAAAACAGAGCTGTGATTGCTCATCCAGCGACTCAGAGGCAAGACTTTGAGATCAAACCTCAGTTGATCTCATTTGTGAATCAGCATCTTTTCCATGGGCTTCCTACCGAAATTCCGATGGACCACATCGAGAATTTTGAGGAGATTTACAGCACGACTGGGTCAAACGGGATACCAAGCCATTTCCTGAAGTGCAAGCTCTTTCCGTTCTCACTTGCAGATAAAGCTTCGCGCTGGTTGAAGTCATTTCCAGCTGGGTCATTGACTACTTGGACAAAGTGCAGATCAGTGTTTTTTGACCACTTCTACACCAAGTCTAAAACTGCATCTCTGAGGAACAAGATTTCGTTGTTCAGACAACAGCCTGGTGAAGCTTTCTGCGAAGCTTGGGAGAGGTACAAAGAGTACTGACGTGAGTGCCCTTACCATGGATTCTCTAATGAGCAGATTTTGGCTACCTTCTATGATGGTGTCAACTGGAATTACAGAAATGCTCTGAATGCAGCTAGCAATGGCGACTTCATGACTAAGTCCAAAGCAAGTGCTTATGAGTTGATTGAGAATTTGGCTGCAAGCTCCAGCAACAAATATCAAGAGTATGACAGGTCGATGAAGGCAGTTAACAGTGTGGAGTCTCACAAGATTGATGAGCTGACAGCCAAAGTGAATTTGCTGCTGAGGGAGAACCAGAAATCAGTACACTTTGCTGATAAGAATGGCGATGCACCTCTGTCCCAAGAGTTTGTAAAAGCAGAGAATGATGATCAGATGGAGGTGAACTTTGCGAATGGACAAGGGTATGTGCAGAACCACAGCTTCAACAACTTCAGGAGCCACCCAAATTTGTCCTACAGGAGCAACAATGTTGAGAACCAGCAGGATCAAGTCTATCTGCAGCAAAGAGTGCAGAATCAGTCAGGATTTCAGAAGAACTTCTCCAGAAACTTCCAAGGGAAGCAGTTCATCACCAACCAGAACCGATTCCAAGGTGGAAATCAGCAGAAGTTTCCCTTCACAAGTTTGCAGCCTTCTTCGAGTTTCCCAAATAACTCGCAGGATGAGCTGAAAAACTTGATACAACAGCTGCGGGTTAATCAACAAAAGTCATCCATGGAGATCAATGCCAAAGTGGACACCATGTACAATGATCTGAATGGCAAATATGAAGCAGTGTGGACTCATGTGAAGAAGCTGGATGTTCAAGTATCTCAGACTGCTGAAGCTGTGAAGAGACCACATGGAACTCTTCCTGGAAAGGGTGAAAATCCCAGGAATGAGTTTGTGAATGCTATTGAGCTAAAGAGTGGAAAGACACTCCATGTTGCACCAACAGTCGCTGCCTCAAAGAAAAGAAAAGAGAAGATCGTGGAGCAGCTGCTCCAGGCAGGAGCACCATCATCTGGCATAAAAAAGACGATGGAGCATGTCTCTTCCTCTGGAGCACATTCTCTAGACCATGGAGCACCTGCTCAGGATGACGAAGCACATGCTCCCGACGAAGCAAAGACGATGGAGCACCCTGGGTCCTCGACAGAGCACCTGCTCCGACCAACTGCTCCAGCTAATCTTCCACCACGTGTTTATACGTCTAAGGAACCTTACCTAGTTCCACCAAAGAAGTCCCAGAAGGACTTAGAAAAGTCAAAGTGCAGGGAGATGCTGAAAGATTTGACCGTGAAATTGTCTCTAGCTGATGCTGTCCAGATGATACCAGCCCTCAAGCGATACATGAAGGGGTTAGTTTCTGGGAAAGCTGTTAAGGAAGAGAGTGGCATGATGGTCTCGAAGGAATGCAGTGTTACAGAACAAGGTTTTGAAGAAGAGGAGTGATCCAGAAATATTTTTTCTCTCAGTCAGGATTGGTAACGTGCTGTTTACAAGGTCTCTCTACGATCTGGGTTCAAGTGTGAATCTGATACCTTATTCTGTGGCCAAGCAACTGGGTTACACCAGATTCAAAGCAACATAAATATTGCTTGTGCTTGCAAACAGATCAACCAAATTTCCTGTTGGTATTCTTGAGGATCTGCATGTTCAGATAGGTGATATACTCATTCCAGCAGATTTTGTGGTTCTGGAGCTTGATGAGGAACCCAAGGATCCTCTGATTTTGGGACGATCCTTCTTGTGCACAGCTGGTGCAATCATTGACGTTAAAGAAGGGGTGATAGATCGATGGTGCGATTTGAGATGAACAAACTCCTCAAGAAACCAATGCTGGACGGGCAGACATTTGTCATAGATGATGGTTCAGACATTTCTGGAGAGGTTGCTGAAGAGGTTTTGGCCATTGATCCTTTTGGAGGTTGCACTTACAAAAGCCCAAGGAGAGCATGGGGATTTGAGTGAGGAAGCTGATGAATTTGCAAGAATGCTGGATGCAAGCATGAAGATGCAGAAGCTGGTGGCATACATGAGCTTAGAAGGCAAGGAGAGCTCAATGGCAGAAAACGCCGAGGGAGCACCTGCTCCGGATCCAGGAGAACCTGCTCATGACGTTTCAGTTGATGGCCTTTGGAGCGAGTTGAGAGCTCCGAAACTTGAGCTCAAACCCCTTCCTGTGGGGCTCAGGTACGCGTTTTTTAGGACCCAATTCGACATACCCTGTGATAGTGAACTCTGAATTGAACAATGTAGAGATTACCTTGCTTCTTTGTGAACTTAGAAAGTATAGGAAAGCTCTAGGATATTCACTTGATGACATTCCAGGGATTTCTCCAGATCTTTGAATGCATAGAATACATTTAGAAGATGAATCGATGACTTCTATAGAACATCAGAGGAGGTTAAACCTGAATCTACAAGATGTTGTTAAGAAGGAGATAATGAAACTTCTAGAAGCTGGCGTGATTTATGCAATTTCAGACAGTAATTGGGTTAGTCCAGTTCATGTAGTTCCTAAGAAAGGTGGCATCACTGTGATCAAAAATGATAGGAATGAATTGATACCAACTAGAACTGTTACTAGGCATCGAATGTGCATAGATTACAGGAAAATGAATGCTGCAACTTGCAAAGATCATTTTCCTTTGCCATTTATTGATCAGATGCTTGAAAGATTGGCTAACCATCCTTATTACTGCTTTTTAGATGGTTATTCAGGTTTTTTTCAGATCCCAATCCACCCAGACGACATTCAAATGTCTTTATGGCACTTTTGCATACCGCAGAATGCCATTTGGTTTGTGCAATGCTCCGGCGACTTTCCAACGCTGAATGATGTTGATTTTTACTGATCTGGTTGAGGACATAATGGAAGTTTTCATGGACGACTTTTCTGTCTATGGAAGCTCTTTTTCTGTCTGTTTGTCTAACTTGTGCAGGGTCTTGCAGCGGTGTGAGGAGAAGCACCTGGTGCTCAACTGGGAGAAATGCCATTTCATGGTAAGAGATGAGATCGTTTTGGAACACAAAATCTCGGAGAAAGGGATCGAAGTAGACAGGACAAAGATTGAGGTGATGATGAGTCTGAAGCCACCAACATCAGTCAAATCGATCCACAGTTTTCTGGGCCATGCTGGGTTTTACAGACCCTTCATCAAAGAATTTTCAAAGATTGCTAGGCCTCTGATGCAGCTGCTGTGCAAAGATGTGAAATTTGAGTTCGATTATGCATGTTTGGAGGCATTCTATACGATCAAAGGAACTTTGGTTAGCACTCCAATTGTTCAGCCACCTGATTGGGAACTACCTTTTGAGGTCATGACTGATGCTAGTGACTGTGCAGTTGGAGCAGTGTTGGATCAGAGGAAAGAAAAGATGCTCCACGTCATTTATTATGCCAGCCGAACACTCGATGAAGCTCAGTGCAGATACGCCACAACCGAGAATGAGCTTTTAGCAGTGGTTTATGCCTTTGAGAAATTCAGGTCTCACCTTGTTGGATCGAAGGTTGTTTTTCACACAGACCATGCTGCACTGAAGTACCTGTTGACGAAAAAATATGCCAAACCAAGGCTCTTTCGATGGATCGTCTTATTGCAGGAGTTTGACATAGATATCAAGAACAAGAAGGGGATTGAGAATGGTGTTGCAGACCACTTGTCAAGGCTGAAGATTGATGATGACATCCCACTAGATGACAGCCTTCCTGATGAACAGGTTTACACCATTGATGTTTCTGGGTTCGATGAGCACCTGCTCCAGCCTGGAGCACCTGCTCCACCTGCTCCAAATTTAGGAGCACCTGCTTTGACAAACTTTTGCAACTCAGTAGACATTAATCAATATCCTAGTTTTCCTTGGTTTTGAGAGATTTCGAACTACCTTGCTGCAGAACAGGAACCTGAAGATTTCATGGGAAACAAGAAAAACAAGTTCCTGAAGGATGTAAGACATTAGTTTTGGGATGAGCCTTACATATACATGCATTGCTCTGATGTAATTTTCAGGAGATATGTAGCTGATGAGGAGATACCTGGGGTCTTGTTTCATTGTCATGGTTCACCTTATGCTGGTCACTTTGCCATTTTTAAAACAGTGTCAAAGATTCTTCAGGCTGGGTATTGGTGGCCTACTATGTTCCGAGATGCACAGAGATTCATATCCAGATGTAATACATGCCAGAGGCAAGGAAACATAAGCAGGAGAAATGAGAGGCCACAGAACTTCATTCTGGAAGTGGAGATTTTCGATGTATGGGGTATCGATTTCATGGAGCCATTTCCATCATCTTATGGCAATGAGTATATTCTGGTGGCAGTTGACTATGTGTCAAAGTGGGTCAATGCTTTGGCTAGCCCTACAAATGACGCAAAGGTAATCTTAAAGATGTTTAAATCTGTCATAATCCCAAGGTTAGGTGTGCCTCAAGTTGTGATCAGTGATGGAGGTTCTCACTTCATCAACAAAGTTTTTGAGAACTTTTTGAAGAAAAATGGTATAAAGCACAAGGTCGCGACTCCATACCATCCTCAGATAAGTGGGCAGGTCGAGATTTCCAACATGGAGATCAAAAACATTCTGCAGAAAACTGTAAGCACCAGTAGGAAGGATTGGTCAGTGAGGTTAATAATGCTCTTTGGACATATAGGACAGTTTACAAAACACCTTTGGGGACTACACCATTTCACTTGGTGTATGGAAAAGCTTGTCATCTGCGTAGAACTCGAGTACAAAGCGGCTTGGGCAGTGAAGTTGCTTAATTTCGATGCTAGAAGTGCTCATGAGAAGAGAGTGATGCAGCTGCACGAGTTGGAGGAGATTAGACACCGGGCCTATGAGAACTCAAAAATTTACAAGGAGATAACCAAAGCTTTCCATGACAAGAGGATCCTCAATAGGATTTTTGCACCAAACGATCAAGTGCTGCTGTTTATTTCTCGATTGAACCTTTTTCCTGGAAAGCTGAGATCAAGATGGTATGGACCATTCACCATCAAAGAGGTTTGACCATATGGAGCTGTAGTGTTGCTGGACACTAAAGGAGGAGAGTTCGTTGTCAATGGACAGAGGTTGAAGCCATACCTTGCTGGTCCAAATGTTGCAGAGGGTGAATCACTCACCTTAAGTGACCCTCCTCAAGCCTAAATGGCTTTCCAAGTCAAGCTAGCGACTTAAACAAGCGTTTGGTGGGAGGCAACCCACCGGTAAGAGTCTCTAACTTTGTGTCTTTCATTTCTTAGCTACTAACTTTGTTTTGAGATCCTTTGTTTTCAAAATAAAAAGAGAAAAGCAGGTGGACAGCTTTTCAGCGAGTGAGGATGAAAAAGAGGAAGGAGAGCAACCAGCCGGAACACCTGCTCCATTTTCTGGGTTGGTTGCTCAAGGCGTAACAATTGACGAATGAGCACCCTCCTTCAGCTCGGAGCACCTGCTCCTCAGGGTGCTCACCACGGAGAAAAGCGACGAAGGAGCAACCTAAGTGAAATAGGAGCATCGGGAGAGAGGAAGAGTACATCTGTGTGTTTTGGTCAGTTTGTCATGGTATAATATGGGAATGAGTCTAAAAGGCCCTTGGCATCGGTTTCATCAGTGAGACCCAGCGATGATGGGAAATAGAAAATCTCGTGAAACTATGGATTTAATCTGGAAAGCTGCAATGTCTATGGAGAAGTACATGGAGATTTGATTTGGATTGATATTGCAACAGGTCTTTTGCATGTTGTGGTCTAATTTACGGTCTTCTGAGTTTTTACGAGTTCCCACCATTGTCTAATCAATTTTTCTGGAACTAGATTTTAGTTTGTTTGAGGACAATGTTTGAGGAAATGGTCTAATTCTAGGGGAGTTGATAAGTGGTGATTTTGACTCATTCTAACCCATGTTTACCGATCTTTTTAGGAGTCTTTGGAGTCTGTTTCAGGTTGTTTCAGGTATCTAGAGAGCTTTAGGCGAGGACTGGAGCAGCTGGAGCTTTTGGTGCAAAAAAGAGTTGAAGCTGAGCAAAAGAGGCCAATTTACACACAGTTGGACCATTCTTGGTCGGGAGCACCTGCTCCCGACTAAGCCCTTTCGTGGAGCACCTGATCCAACCGCCTGGAGAAAAATAAGGAAAACGATTTTTACCTAATTCTGGAACGCATGAAGAGAATAAAAGACCAGAGCCTCCTCAAAAAGAGAACCACGTTTTACATAACTTCTTTTACGCTTTCTTTTACAATTTTCTAGACTTTTGGAGTTTTGCTTGTAAGATTTCGGAGAAGAATCTCTGATACACTTGAGAAGAATTCTGAACCCTCTTAATATCTCTGAGTTTTTATTCATGAATTCTTTTTCATCTTTTTCTGTGTTTCTTTTCTCCATGTCTGAGTAGATCTCTTAGCTAGACTAAGGTTTTCAAAGGATTTCATGAGTTAGAGAATTGGATGCAAATAGGGCTCAACATCGATTATCTTCACCATTGTTGAACTTAACACTTAGGTTGAACTGATCACTCAATTTACGATTTTAGGTTAAACATATTCATCAAAAGTGTAATAGGTTGCTAGAACAAACTTTGGTGAGTGATTTGTCCTTAGCCAACGACAGTTGATGTTAAGGCAAATCGTGAACAGATCAAACCTGAATGTTAATGCTTGTCTGCAATTTTCTAGGTTCAAACGACATTTTAAAATTTAGGTTGTTAGAGAAAGTTATCGGTGCCACGACAGTGGGTCGATATACATTTATGTTTGCGTTCGAGACTTGCGTTTAAACTGTACTCTGAATAGTCATATGAATCTCATCTCTGAAACTCCTGTGAATTTCCTTAGTCTAGTGCTTGTTTTAATTCGAATTCAAATAATTTCTAGTTTGCTTTTACTTGTCGTTAAAGTCACAATCAAATTATTTTGTCTCTTAGCTTTGTTTCAGTCCTCGTAGAGTCATAGAGTAGCATTGGTACTCTGGATTTCGAATCCTTTATATTACAATTATAAGTTGTTCTATTGCAGTAGAAACTAAGAGATAAATCCAAGTTGAATCAATGGTTAATAAAATCAGGTACCTGAATGATATCAATGATAATGATAAAGAGATCTCGATTAACCATGTCATTACACAAAATGTGGAACCAAAGATAAAAATAATTGTCGACAGTATAAACAAGATATCTTTCGATATAAATAAGGATCATAAATCTACCTCTGTGGAAGAGTGTGAAAAGAGAAAATTGTTGGCCAAAAAAAGTGAAAAAATGCAATCAAGTCGATGTTAATCTCATATGAAAAATGAAAAACTTATAGGACCAGCAGTCCAAGCATCAAAAAGGTATGTGTTTGAGAAAATGACCATAAATTACGGCTTGTTACGCAAAGTCATATCCAAATACACGATATTGATTATATTATTCAAAAGTGGTGGATACAATGTGTTAAGTCTGGCAGTACATGAATGACTTGAATTATGCCTTATAAATGTTGTAACATCTTTAAATGAAAAATCCTGGGCACAATTACTTGGTACTCGTCCCGTACTCGTTACTTGACCCGTACTTGTCCCGTAAAACCAAGTACTTGTTTTGATCAAGTAGAGTATCAAGTATCTTAAGAAGATTACTTGCAAGTATAAGGCAAGTATCAAGTATTAAAAAAAAAGTTACTACTTGGTCTTATTGACCCGTTACTCGTTTCAAATCTCTGATTTTTTTTTTAATTTTGTTCCACATCGATTACAACATAAAAAAGGAAAGAAAAGTCTGCTTATCAAAAGATAAATAAGTTGCCAGACTTCAATATCTAAAGCTTTCCAAAAACCTATAGGTCAAAATATTAAATATTATCATAGGTTTTAATTAAATATGACCCGAAATTTTAGTTTTTTTAGTATTCTATTTGTACTTTTACAAGTAACGGGACAAATCAAGTAACGGGACAAATCAAGTAACTTGCAAGTAATGAAAAATTTGGCAAGTACTTGAAATTGCAAGTACTTGATATTAACAAGTCAAGTACAAGTACAAATATCTTGATACTTGAACGGGGTAAGTCAAGTATCAAGTATACCAAAAATGGCAAGTACTCGTCCCGTGCCCAGGCCTAGTCATCTGATGTTGTATCACTGAAAAGATTACTAACCTGAGATGTCTTTGCAGCAAAAGGAAATACCGTTTCAAAGAATATTACATTTCTCTACTCATTGTATCCATCAGTTGCCAACTGATTAATATTTTGTATTGCGTGAATATTTTACAACAAAAACAAATGATATTGTCTTTTACTTTTTAGTAAATTAACCTTCGTCTAGTTTGCCATCCATTCCTTCTTTCTCTTGCACTAGACAGAATCAAAAAAAAAAAAAAAAAAAACAACAACAACAACAACAACATTTGCCCTATCTTGGAAATTGATAATCAACTAGATGCCTATCGTTCGACTGGCCCTCTTGGACTAGAAACTCTCTCATTCTATTTTCAATTTTTTTCCAATTTCCTAGATCACTAATATCCCCACAGATTTGGTATTCCTTATAACATTATCGTTTTCCCCTCTTCATTATAGTCATTCTACTTTTAATTTCATTCTCATTTTCATCACAGGCCATGTGTATTACAGGTTCATTAACATTTCTATCTTGCTCAATTGCTAAAATATCACCTTGACTTCACTATTCATTTTGATCTCATTTTCTAAAACGTCATCAAATTTAGGAGCTTCATTTTTTTTTTTGGTACATACTTCAACGGGCAGAATCAGAAATCTTCTGTGGATTTGAAATATGGGTGCCTCATTATGGGTGCCTCATTTATAAGTAAACCATAGCCACTATCACTATATCTGCTGTCACTACACTAACCAGTATGGAGTGAAGAGAAAAGAGAAGTGAACAACAAGGAAAACAATGGTTATGTTGTGAATATTACTCCTCAAGCAGAAGCAAAGCTTTTTGTGATGTCAAAAGGAACCAGAAGTTTCTCAAGGCGCACAGGTTAGTAGAACAATGGTGGTTGGATAATCTAGAGCTTCAATCAGCTATTCACAGAAAGAGGTTGATCAGTCATCAACTCAAGGTCTCAAGCCATTATACAGTATCAAGTAAACATCGCTATGGTTTGACCAGTTCTTATTCAGCATGATGGTAGGGTATTGGTACCAGATCCATCTTCATCGTTCAATAAACACATTTGATTTGATCTTATAAACAGTTTTCCAAGAAATGTAACAACATAAATGTAGGAAATATAAACTCTTTTACATCACTTGTGAACAAAAAGAATACGACCAATGTGGATATTTCAGATTGGTGCTTTAATCATTGGATTGTGCCAAAGAACTTAACGGCCATAACAATCATACGGGGCCACCAAATAAAACAAGTTGAGAATTTGAGAAAAAAAGGTATATAAACAAAAACAAAATGCCATGTGCTTTCCGACCAACATTATTTGATTAGTGTTCAGACAGACTCCAACTCAAATATGCAACAAAACAGTTTCACAACTGAAGAGTCATTACACTGTTCCTAGATTTAGATACATCAATTTAGAGAGAAAGGATCAGGATCTTGAAGTTTTAGAGGACAAAACATCAACTCACCAAGAAAATTAGAAAAAAAAGAGGATTACAACAAACTCTACAAAGATATTATTATTGTTTGTCTACATGACTAATCAGCAAATTAACTCTCCCTACTTCAATCAACCAAGCCTTATGAACAATCAAATCATCAAACAACATATAGAGAAATCGAAAAAGAAAAAAAGGAATCTCGCAGATGTTTCTTACATACAGGTTAATAAAACGTATCCGCAAGTCTCCTATGGCCTTGCAAAGACGCCCCAAATCTTACTCCGAGCGAGATTCTCGGCCAATTTCTTAGCTCCTTCAACATCAAGCTTTTGCAAATGCAAGCAAGCACCAGCAGCAACGACTTGTTTCCTGCATTTCTTAGAAGTCACAAGCAGTTCCAACGCAGAGACTGTGTATCTCCTATCAAGTTTCTTAATCTTCGGGTCCAAGAGCTGAACAAGACTAACTACACCCTTCTCACTCTTCTTGAAAATCTTTCTATTGCTTGTACACACCAATAACGTCGATAGAGCTTTAGAAGCTGCGTCTTTCTCTTCAATGGCTTTACCATCTAACATATCAATCAAAGGACCGATGCATCCGCTCTCGCCTATCTCTTTCCTGCTTTTCGAGCTGAAACCTAGCGAAGAAACAGCTTCTGCAGCTGCGATTCTCACACTGAGAATCCCACAGCTCAACACCGGAACCAAACGAGGGATAAACCCTTCGGAGATAACAACTTCTCTAACAATAGGGCACAAAGCTAGATTCTTTAAAAGCAAAACAGCTACCTCCAGAGACTTAACATTGGTAACAGAGTCCCAGAAACTCTTCAAACACTTGATTCCACCTTCTCTAACAATTAACATCATCATATCCTCATCCCCAGATGTTAAATTAGCTAAACACCCTACAGCATTCTCTTGAGCTAGAGGCGTACCTGAAGAACCGAGAGAAACAAGAACGAAAACAGCGTTCTCCTCCACGAAATTCTCTTTAGTCTCTGAAAACGAAGCCAAGTTCTTCAAAACTCCGGCGGCGAAAGCTTGAGAGCCAGGAGTCCCGGCTTGGCAGATTTCAAGCAGAGACGAGATCCCTCCTCTGCAACCAATCGCTCTCGCGTTCTCCTTAGAGAGACTCAAAGCTTGTAAAGCAATACAAGCCTTCTCCTTAGCGAATCCACTTCCTGATTCCAGTACACGAAGGAGATGATTCAGTAGAGACAATCCTTCAGCTATCAACACATGTTTGCTACTCTCCACCGTAGAGATTCTAGAAATCACGGATACAGTCTTCTCCTTCATACCAAAAGAGCACGAATCGAGAAGCCGAACCAAAACGGGAACAACTCCTTGAGCTACTGAGATCATCACGTTCTTATCATCTTCCTGAAGCAGCTCAAGCAACGAATCAATTGCAGAATTCTTCGATTCCGGTCCACCGATCTGCAATCGAATAACCAGATTCCTCGCTTCTAACCGAACCGATTCCTTCTTCGTCGAAATCGAAAACTTCGAGACGGCGCAATTATCCTGCTGAAGAAGACCGCTCTTAATCAGAACCTCGGAATCTCTCACATGGCGATCAAGTCTCGCCATGACTGAGTCAACCTCACTCTGCGTCTTGAGCTTTCCTTCTGATAAATCTGGTCCCTCGCACCTCGCCGCGACGGAGACCGCGTCATCTAGCGTTTCTCGGACGGAAGCTAGAAGATCCAGAGCTAGCTTGTTTGAAGAAGACGCATCGAAATCGGATAAATCGGCAAGCTGAGTCCTGAGATCGGCGAGTTTGGCGCGAATCGAAGACCATTTGCACTTGAAGCTGAGAAGCTTGGGGATACTGTCGAGGAGAGAGGAGATTAGCTCCGTCAAACTCCGGTCGCCGTCGTTATCTGCCACCGGCATCGGAGAAGCGATGAGTGAGTTTAGGGTTTTGAGAGAGGAGAGGAGAGAGAAAGAGGAGAGAGAGAGAGAGGTGTGAATTAATGGGAAGTGATGCTGCTTGCTTTGTTGCCAGTTGGAAAAGAGCGAAATACAGGGAGGGAAAGTGGGTTCCACGCGCTTTTCCAAAGCGCGTGAGTTTTTAATATATTTTTTCTTTCTATTTGTTTACAGTTTCTTCGTCAACCCCAATGATCAGAAATCTCATGCATGTTACGTGGACAAACACAAAAGCAATATTTTTGTGTTTTTTTTGTTTTTTTTTTTGGAAAAAGTTTCTACTTTTTGTTTGGACATTTTAGAAGTTAAATATTCGGAATAATTAAAATTAATATAGGAGATTATTGAAGAATAATTAAATAACATGTATTTTAAAATGTTTATTAATACGTATATATTTGTATTTCAGAGAAAAGTTAAAACAAAAATCTTTCTAAAATTGTTTTAGAATGACACCTAAGAAAAACATTTTCTTGGATATTTTAACTATTAATAAGGGACATAGATAACAAACATTAACTACTAATTTGTATTTAGCCAAAAAATTAAAAAACAAATTGGCGTGAAAAAGATTTGGTAATAAATGTTTTGGCAAAAAAAATACTTGGTAATAAATGTTATTAAGTAAAAGTCTAAATAAAGCAAAGGGTTGGTATGAGTTGACCAATGACTATACCCGGCTCTGATTATAAAAGGGAAATAGTTTCATGCAACTTTAACGTATTTTATTAGAGGGTCCCATTATAATATAAATTACCTGAATTCTTTCTTCATTTTTTTTTGGGTTAAGAGTCGTTCCTAAATTCTAAACATCAAAACTTAGGCCATGACTGTTTCATGTTTGCATGGTTTTTAGTTTTTTTTTGTTTCTGACTTTTAGCTTTTAGTTTTTAAATTTTTAATTTTGATTTTTAGTTTTTTTGTAGATTTTTGTTTCCTAAAATCTTGAATGGTATAATTTGTTTAGTTTCTGGTTGTCTATCAATAATTTGTTTTAAATGTTTTATGTTTTTTTTTTAATTTTTAGTTTACTTTTATGTGTTTAAACATTATGAAAATTAAATAAATAAAATTGAGGTTTTTATAATCATTTATTTTTATATAAAAATTAATAAATCACTTTTAATGGTAAATATTATAAAATTTTAAATTTTTTATACAACTGGTAAAATGATGTTATTTTTTTAAAAAAAAAAATTTACAATAGATTTAAATAAATAAAATTGAGGTTTTAAAATGATGTTTTCTACAAGAGGTAAAATTTTAGATTATAGATAAAAGAAATGCACATAGGTAAAATGATGTTATTGTTTTTTTTAAATGTCAATCAATAATTGAAAAAATGAGCTAGTTGTAGAAATGAAATTTTGTTTTTGCTTCTATGTTTTTTACTTTAGAAATAAAATTTTTGTTTGCTTTTATATTTTTTGTTTAATTATTGATTGAGAAAATAGCAGTATATATAAATTTTTTAAAAATAATAACAACAATTCACGGTAATCTCGTTTAAAAAACCCATAGATGGTGGTTTTTGGTTTTTGTTTAGAAAATAAAAAAAAAAAATAAAAACTCTGAAAAATTAATTTCCCTAAAATTTAGGAAATCCAATTTTTAAAAAAATTTGAATAGCTAATAAAATAATTTTTTGAAAAACAAAAACCAAAATCTATTCCACAAACTGCAAACAATCAAGGCCTTTGAAGAATTTCAAATCTATATAACTAAATATAAAAAATGATAAGATATTTCAAAAAAAAATTATGATAATAATTTTTTGAACAGATAGGTCGTAACCAGTAATCATGCCCGATATTGGAGAGATATCCTTCTTACCAACAAATGTTTTTATCCTTAATTTTTTTTTTCCAAAAAAACTCATAAATTAACTTTTTATCTTATAATAGCGAAAAAGCAAAAAACAATTATTAACAAAAAGTAAACCTCACCAGAATTTTAAAAGCCTCGTTTATGTAAAGATCTCATGATATGTACATTTTTTTGTCATGGTTTAAGTCTTCCGTTTGCAATTGTTTTTTTAATAACATTGATTTAAGGGAAATTGATTTAATACAGAAGTTAGAAAACATGATAAACAAGTAGACATGAAGATAAAAATAGAAAATATAAAACAAGTTAGAATCTCAAGGCATAACTTCACCTGAATCTCAAATTCGATTCCACTTAAGGACACCAAACTGTATATGTAGGCCATTTTGTATCTCGAGTTAAGGCTTGATTTACCTGTGTTGAATTTGAAAATAGATGATGATCTACATCAAACTCTTAAGCAATTACTTTTTCATTTTTGTTAAAGGATTATCTCAAGCAATTGTTTTCTTTTTGTTAAAAGGTTCTTTTAAGCAATTGTTGCTTGTTTTCTAACATGAAAAATGTATTGTAATATTGACTACTCAACTTTTAGAACCAAGAGTAACATTATAAAACAGCATACAAAACGTATATGCTTTAAAGATCACAAAATTCAGTGGTAAATGCATATCAAATGTCGCTGAGGTACAACATAATTACAATCACAGCAAACTCCACAGTCGTCTTATGGCATACATGAATTTTAAATACAATAGCTTTCAATTATTGAAACAACAAATTCTAACCAATTTTGACTCAGATTTGTCAGTGGAAAATAACAAATTTTGACATATTATTCCTAATCTGGTTGATAATGATAATAATTCAATCCAGACATTTTCAAATAACATTTGGCCAAGATGTTGTTGACGTATAATCACGGGACTACAATCTTAGCAAAATCTAAAACTATCCAGTGGCATATATATGCGAAGTTTAAGTATGGTGAATAAAAAAAATTAAAGGAAAAAATTGTTAACTATAAAATTAACATAAATTTATTTGTGGAAAACTAATAAAATTTGACTTATTAGCTAATGAAAATGATTAAATAATTACATTTTCAAATAACATTAGTATGTAGATTGGTCAAAAAATCCATATGTTTCCATTGTTTTAAAAAGTGTGTGTTGAAAGATGTGATTGATTGAATTCTTTTATTTTCTTGGTTACTTTTAGATTTTTGCCTAAAATACAAAACTGTTTTTCAAGTGGTAGAATAACCAACTTACATTGTTCTTGGGAGGTTAACAATTTCTCAACCACAACATCCTAACTATTATTACACGAGTAGAAACAATTATTACACGAGTAGAGAAGCAATTTCATTGTCTTCTGTTGCCTGAGAGATTGAATTCAGTATGCTTCCTAAATCTGCATCAGTCAATGAAATTATTGTAACTGCCGTGAGGGCTCGATGATGCTTTAGATTATTTTCAATATTATGAAGAAAAACATACACCTTTTGTCTTTTAAAGGTCTTTATAAGATTTTGCCTTACAGACAATACTACATACATCCAATATTAATTTTTGATAGAGGAATGACTCAAAGTTTATGTTGTGATGCGATTGAATGCTAATTTAATCTACGTTATGTAAAGCAACATCTTATTATTTTTCTTCTTCTCCTTCCTATACTAGGTCAAGACTTCCTCTTTAGCATTAAGCTGCAACTTATCAAATGACTTTTCTGCCCATGAATTTGAAGCACGGTGACTTCAAATTATTAATAGAAGAAGTTTTTAACCAACATCAATGCAAGCTTGTTAGTGAAAACCAATAATTTTTTATTTAATATTTTTAATCTGGTTGCTAATGAATATGATTCAATCTATACATCTTCAAATTATATTGGCCGAGATGTTTTTGACATCCAACCACGAGACTGTAATTTCAGAAAAAGTCCAAAATTGTCTGGTGGCAAACACCAATTTTTAAGCATAGTAAAAAACTAAAGGAGAAGATTTTGGCAAACAACATCAACATAAACTTATTTGTGGAAAACCAATAAAATTTTACTTATTGCTCTTAAATTGTTGCTAATGAGAGTGATTAAGACGTTCCATCTTCAAATAACATTGGCATGAGGATTAGTCCAAAAGTTCAAATGTTTTCATTGTTTCAAAAGAGTGTGTAAGGTGAGATGTAACTGATTGAACTCTAATTTTCTTGGTCATTTTTAGAATCTAGCCTTAAAGATAAGGTTGCTATTCAAGTGGTGGTAATGATATGCAAGAACCAACTAACATTATATTTTGGAGGTTAACTGATATCCCTTAAATAATGAAAACTTTTGTTGGTCATTATGTTATATATTTGGTATTTTGACTCTACTAAGCACTGAGATCAGGGGTGTGATACATACACCAGAAAACAATGCGTTGATCAGTTAAAATAATCACTTTTGTAAATTATTTGTTTATAGTTTTTTATCTTGATAAAATACCATAGTTCTTTTTTTTCTAGTATGTTGTAACACCCTGATCTTGGATTCCAAAAGGAACCAGACTAAACCGGCGGTATTATCTAAACCTAACTAATAATTCCTAAATAACTTTTAAATCTTATTCCAAATCCAAATCAAATCCAAGTCTTACAATTGAAATGAAATAACTTAAATAAATCCTAAAATAATTAGAAAATATTGTCTTAAAAAAAAATACGAAATAGTTCTTAAAACAATGAAATCTTCCTCCATCTCTGAAGGCACACCACACTAGAACTACTCATCTAGTTCCTCCCAGTCATCACATTCACAATCATCAGACTCACCTGCAATATGGATTTAAAAAAGATGGATGAGTAATTTGGGGAAATTACCCAGTGAGAACCAAACCATGCACTCTTCCCACTCGATCATTTCCAACCACTATGACAAGTATAAACCCAACAAGCAGAAAAATGGCACTCTAGAAGCGCACAAACAATATCAAAGAGGCATCTCCAAACTTGTCAGGTCAGACAGACAGGCTATGTCAGGTCACACAAACAGGCTCTACATCGCCAGGTCACAAAGACAGACACCAAGTCACACAGACAGGCTTAATATTGCTAGGTCACACAGACAGGCTATGCCATGTCACAAAGACAGACATGATAGTTTGTCTAACCACCTGACGATGAATTAATGCCACGGTCACACAGACGGCACTAATCCAGCAATCAATCCGTACCTAGGCACACCTCCATCGAGACGGACTGATCTAGCTATTTTTACCAAGTACTAAACACAAAGCAGGGTGAACAATCAGGTATACTGGTGCTTCCTCTAATGAGAGTCCTAATTCATATTAATTTTATATATACATGGATCTATCTAGATGCGCAGGAAAACAACCTAGACTTATCAGATCTAGACTTCCCACACCAGAAGAAGACAAATGAATAAGAAGAAGAACCTAGATCTGATCCTCACCTTTGCCAAATGCAGATCTGAGTTATAGAGAACTAGAAGCAAGAGAATCAAGGAGCTTTTGGGAAGAAAGAGGCTGACGGCGGCTTCTTCTCCTCTCGGCCGGCGACGACGACGGTGGCAAGGATGGGCGGCGGCGGTGGCTGGAGCTTGGCGACGGCTGGCTCTCTCCTTCTCTCTTTTTCTTTGGGTGGCTTAGGTTTTTTTTAGAAGAAAAATGAGGCTCTTTCTCATTTAATTCCCTATTTATATTAGGGTTGCTGGAGTGGGTTTGACATTGACTTACTTTTTTTAATTTGGTCAAATTTGGGATGTTATATATGTAATATTTAATTTTAAAAGCCAAATAAATATATAATAGTACGTTAATAGGTATATATTTATCTAGGTATAAAAAATCCTATGCATTATATTAATCCATGTTTGAAAAATTAATCGATTTTTCTCTGATTGGTGACGTTAGGCGACAGAGCAATAAAAAACCGCCTAGACCAAGGAATAAGAGAAATTGGAAATTTTTGTTAGGTTTAAACTTTAAAGTTCAAAATCTTAATTTTTATAAATCTATTATAATATGGTGAAAAACATAAGAATAAGTAGCCAAAAATGAGAAAAATGTGTTGCAGTGCGATTTAAGATTCTAGAGGTCGGTGTATGTAATATTTAAAAAAATGCCAAATTGAATGCCTAGATGACTAAACCCAAACCACTAGACTAAACTATACTTACGTTTTTATTCCATGTAATATATATTCGTACAAACCAATAAAAACACATTAAAAACTCCAATTTCTAAAAAAAAAAAAAAAAGAAGACTCCAATTTGTCTGATTCTTTTCTAGGCGTTAAGTCCAATTTGTCTGATTCTTTTCTAGGCGTTAGTTGTATTTAGACCGCCTGACTAGCGATATTTAAAACATATATATTTATTGTAAACACAATATTTGAATCGCCTTATATTTGAATGCTTTTCTTAGGTATGCTACTATGCCATGTATTAGTTACTCTACATTCTCAGCTTCGTGCCCCATATTCAGAACTCACATTATTAGCCAACAATTCTCGCTTGGCATATAGTCACTCATGAGATTTGGCGCGAGAGAAATCACAAGTGTCATACTTGTTCGACCCTTCCTATCCCCAAATCTTATTGCCTTCTATTGATCTTATATAATAGCTTTCTGGATCTGATAATCTAAGTCCGACCGTTCAAGTCACCTACTCTAGCTCTGCTTTTGACTCCATTTTCCTCCAATTAAGATTGTTCTTGAACAAGTTCTACCTTCTTTTTATAATAGTTTTGAGTTTTATATTGTGTTCTTTGTTAAAGCTTGATTTCTTGTTCCACTATTGCTGTTAATCTTTGCTTTCTTTTAACGAATTTTTTTTTTTAATATTATTCAAATAGACTTATATTTCAATAAGTTGGATCCTAGCTAAGATATGCTGTATTGTTTTTTTTTTGTTGGTAAAAGTATTACGAGCTATGTGCTCTAGCTCCTCAAACATTGCTTTATCACAGAATCCGGTAGGATAGCAACTGTTGGGGGTGAAAACCGCACCGAGATCGGTACGAATTAAGCTCGGTTTACGAAGAAATCGTACCGGAAAAATTAAGCTGGGCGAGTTCTTGAGTCAGACATAGCCCAATAAACCGAAGTCGGTCGAAACTTCTCAAAGGAATCGAGAAGTTCTCCGAGTTCGGAAGGAAAAGGAAAATTTTCGAATAGAAAAAGGAAAATTCCGAGAAAAAAGGAAATTGTTGAGAGAAAAGGAAAACGACCGAAAGAAAAGGAAAGTCTTCTCGGTCCCATATCGCAGAGAAGATCCGCGAAGACCGACTTAGAAGACATATATAAAGGAAGAGGAATCAGAAGACACAAGAAATTCCAGAGAGACTTAGAGACTAAGAACTCAAAACCTTAGCTTCTTAGTTTCCTAAGTCTTAGTTCGCTTATCGTTTATATAACCAAACTCAGTTGTATTCTCGATCGATCTAATATTATCCGAGTTTGCCGATCTAAATTACTGTTTTGTCCTTTGTTTGATATTCATATATCAACAATTGGCGCGCCAGGTAGGCGGCTTAACAGAATATTCAGTTTTAAATCGGATTCTGGAAAGATCGATTCAGCAATGACGGACCCTGTCAACGTCCATGATGAGGAGAGCCCTCTCGGCCAAGGGAACGGCGACAACCGAGCTCCCGCAGAGCAAACATGAGGAACCCCTGGAGAGACCGTTGGAACCGACACCGGGCAAACTCTCCCAGCCGTAGAAGGCTTTGGAACTGAATTACTGCTCCAGGTGTTCAACGCGCAGTTCAAAGCTATCCATAAAAGGAGCGAAGAGCGCTTCATTCACATGGCGGCACAGATCACCGAGCTCAGTCAAACCCAAACTTTCCTGCAAGTTCGAACATCATTAACGATCTCAACACAGAGAACGACCCAATTGGAACCATGCGATCTACTGCTATTCGATCGGCAAACGCCCGACACCACCAGATCTGAGTCGTGACGCCGAGTTCGAAGCAATGAAGGCACAGCTCCGCCAGATCACTTCGAAAATTCATCAGGCAACGAGCGCTGCACCGGAGATCGATCGCGTCTTTCAGGAAACGCAGAAGACACCCTTTACACCGCGCATAGCCGGAACGCCTGTTAGGCACTTGGAGAAACTCAAGATCAAGATCTACAAAGGCAATACCGACCCCCGACACTTTTTGACCTCGTTCGGAATCTGCATGAACCGATACCAGTTCAGGTCAGCCGAGGAGAATGATGCGATCCAGTGCCAACTGTTTGTCGAAAGTTTGGGAGGAATAGCTCTCGACTGGTTCTCGGGACTCGAGGCGAACTCAATAAACAACTATAAAGAGCTAACAATGGCTTTTGTCAAGCACTTCTCCATGTTCATCGGACAGAACACCAAGAACTTTGAATTATGGCAGATGGCTCAAAGAGCAAACGAGAACCTTCGCGACTTCATCCACCGCTTCAAAACGATTGTCGCCAACTGCACGATCAACAATGAAGCCACCCTCTTATATTTACAGAAGGGAGCTCGGATAAAAACGAGCTTCCAAAGTGCAATCAAACACAACTCTCCGCAGACCTTGGAAGACGCGTTACACCGAGCTAACACTTACATCGTGGAGGAAGAAGAGGAGGCAGCTCATGAACAAAGTTACTCGGCAAAGCAACCCGAACGACCAAAGACTGACACTTATCAACCACAATCGGGTTATGGCAGAGGGTACGAGAATCGTAAAAAATTACACGCCAACGCCATCCAACAACCGACCAATCAGTGGAACAATAAATGGATCCGTAGCGAGTAAGACTAAGACGAGTCAATATCCTGCGAATTCCATAATCGTAAAGCACATAGCACCAAGGACAAATCTCACTCGACGACCTCCGTCGTTCAACCACACAAAGAAATAAGTCGCCCCGATCTAACAATATACATCCCGAACACCGTCGCTACAGATCTACCAGCTTTGCCACTGCCTCCGCCGAATCTACCCGCCCATCTCGAGCAACCGAAACGCATCCGCGACGACCCCGCACCAGAGAACCATACCCCCAAAGCTAGAAAAAACGTCAACATAATCATGGGAGCTATCGAAGCCTGCAGCTATTCAGTTCGGGCCATCAAGGAATACAGCACATAGGCCGCAACCGCGCCTAAACTCTTGCATGATCCGCCGAAAGAAACCCCTTTAATATTCACCGAAGCCGACATAATTGGGTTGCGTAAACCACACAACGATGCTCTCGTCGTCGAACTCCTTCTCGACGACGTCGAAGTCAGCCGTATGGCAGTTCGGTCAACATAATCTTCAAAGACGCACTTGACCAGCTCGACATACCGTCGGACAAGATCGAACCATTCATCGAACCTCTCACAGGATTCAACGGTGAACGCTGCATGACGGTCGACACGGTCAAAATCCCGATCTATCTTGCCGGAGTTGCAAAGATTATCCAGTTCCTCATCCTGGATAAACCGGCATTCTACAACGCTATTTTCGGTACACCTTTGCTACACGCAATGAAGGCAGTCACCTCAACATATCACCAGTGCCTGAAATTCCCAACTCCCGACGGCATCTACACTCTCCGAGGTAACCAAGCTGTCGCGCGATCGTGCTACATCAACGAGTGCAAGCTTCGCTCAGCCAATCAAGCCTGTGTCATCAGTTCGCAAGGTCCGACTACCGACCTCATTATCCAAAAAAAAAGCCTAAACAAGAGTCAATCACTCAAGTCTGCATCGACGAACTAAGGCCAGAACACCAAGTCGGCATCGGCGCCGAATTCGATCCAAAGATCCGCGACACCATCGTTCACTTTCTGAAGCAACACTCATCCACCTTTGCATAATCACGCTTTACCTCTATATCGTGATCTCGGAATACGCGGTTAGCAGTGTACTCGTTAGCGAAGACTGAGGCGAGCAGAAGCCAATCTTTTACACCAGTAAATCCCTTGACGGATTGGAGTACCGATACCCAACCTTGGAGAAATTTGCCTTCATCGTGGTTATCGCAGCACGAAAGTTACGCCCGTACTTTCAGTTGCACTCCATCGTTGTCTTAACCGACCATCCTCTTCGCACCTTCCTTCACAGCCCGAGTCAATCCGGTCGACTCGCCAAATAGGCCATCGAACTCAGCGAATACGATATCGAATACCGAGGAAGAACCACGATAAAATCCCAAGTCCTAGCGGACTTCTTGGTCGAACTTCCACCTGAGCTCGTCGACGCCAATCCGGCTGTACAACCCTGGATCCTCCATGCCGATGGCTCCTCTTCCCATAAAGGATCCGGCGTCGAAATTCGTCTCAAATCCTCCGAGGGCGAGATCATTGAACAGTTATTTCGTCTCGGCTTCCCGGCATCCAACAATGAGGCTGAGTCTAAAGCACTTATCGCCAGGTTACGCCTCGCCAAAAGAATCGGCGCCGAACACATCCACGCCTACTGCGACTCTCAACTCGTAGCTAACCAGTTTCACGGAGAATACGAAGCCAAGAATGATCGCATGGATGCATACCTCAAAGTCTTCAAAGATCTTGCTTCAGAATTCTCAACTTTCGAACTCACAAAGATACCGCGGGACGAAAACGCTTCCGCCGATGCTCTGGCTGCTCTCGCGACTAACTCTGATCCCGACCTCCGGCGAACAATCCCAGTTGCGGCAATCGAACGACCTAGTGTCGAGCCCGTCTCCGTCTGTAACATCATCACAAGACGACACGACTATGAGGCCCATGCCAACCTCGCACCACCCCTCACCCGAAAAGAAAAGACTAAGGAAGTTGTCACCGATCTCGATGTCAATATGAATGAACAAAGTGACAACAAGTCTAATCAAGATGACAAATCCGAAGTCCAACACGTCCCGATTGACATCGAAGCTGAAGGCGACGACGAGCCCGAGGATTGGACTCTAGAAATTGTTGGTTACATTGGCGACAGAACAGTCTCTGCAGACAAATGGGCAGCTCGGCGGTTTAAGGCTCGAGCAGCTAGATACGTTGTCATCAAAGGCACTCTCCTTTGATGGGTTGCATCCGGCGCATTTTTGACTTGTGTTCATGGCAACGACATTATGGAAGTTATGCAGAAAGTGCACGAAGGAGAAGGAGGAAACCACTCCAGAGCTTGTTCTTTAGCATTCAAGATAAAAAAAAGCTGGCTATTACTAGCCCACTATGCTCTCCGACTGCGAAAAGTACACCGCGCGATGCGAGAAGTGCCAACATCACGGCCCAATGATCAACCTTCCTACTGAACTTCTGATGACCTCAACCGCACCATATCCCTTCATACGCTGGGCAATGGATATCATCGGTCCATTTCGCCAATCTACAAGCCATAAACAATAGGGTTTAGTAGAGATACATTCTATTTTAAGTTAAGGTCGTACACGAAATGAGTAAGTTAGTAGAGATAGATTCTTAAGTAGCATCCCAACATGAACCAATGGAACATCTTCAAGACTGTCTATTTCACCGTTTTTCATATCAAGGAGTCCACCACCAAACCAATGAACTTCTGGATTGAGAGAAATAGAGAATAGTTTTCAGTAACCCAGCCAACTTCAATTTGCCTAATGTTTGCAATGGTCCAACACACTTTTTGTGATTGGTCCAAAATCTTCCAAAGTCAATCAACACATCATACAAAACAAATAAAATACATTTAACGAATTGAAAAGAAAAAAAAGAAAGAAAAGAAGAAGAACGAAAGATTATAATTATTAGGAGTTGATAAAAAAAATATATCATTAAGTGAAAACAAATAAAAAAATAAAGTTTCATAATATGATTCTAATTAAATTTCGTCGAATCAAGTTTTCACGATTTTCACTCATATTTTTTTTTTTCTGCCTCATTGGGTAGTGACATGAGGGTCTAACCTCTAAAGTAGTAATAGCAGCTCTTTTTTTGGTAAAAATTTTTGAGCAGCTCTTACATACACATAACAGAACTGAATGGATTTAAAATTTCAAATATCTCTGGACCATTTTTCTAAAATTTTCCTTGCTCCAATGGCAGTCGTAGAATGATCCCACTTATATGGATTACCTTGTTTATTAGACGATCTCACTTACCCTCTCCACGTGAAACTAATTTTCTAATCCGTCCAACTGGTTCCACTACTTCATTAAATTCCACTATTTGTGGAAACGGATCCAGGGGATCACCGGGTAATTATCTTGATCCAGCTCCAGGTTGTCATCTCTTCATTTACTGAAATTGTGACTCGAGTATAAAGACAATCAAGTAGAGGAAGATGTCGCAAAGAATGTGCTCACAACTTAGATGATTTTAGTCAACTCTACAATATAAACATGAAAATATAAATGATTAATTAGTATACATTTACACAAAAAAATGTTTTCTTGACTTAGAAAAGACTAACAATAAGGTTCACATGATTACCCTTAGTAGTTTATTTTACCAATTTGCTGGCATGTCAGACTCTCCAAAATAATTAAAACCCATTCTGTTAGTGTTTCTTATGATGCGCTTGTAAACACCAAATTTTTTTCTCCATAAAAACTGATTACATGTATAAGGGAAGTCAAGCATGCCGCAGTTGGTAAGCATAATATTTAAAGATAGAAAAGAATGAAAATCTAGTAGAACTTGATGCAAGCTTGGTGTTATACCTAAACTGAGAGATTCGACGGCGCTAGGTGATTAATATACATTTACAAAAAGACAATGTTTTTGTCGCAACTTAGAGGATTCTAGGCACCTCTGCAATATAAACATGAAAATATATATGGTTAATATACATTTACAAAAAGAAAATGTTTTCTTGACTTTAAAATGACCAACAAAAATGTTCAAATTCAAATGCTTACCTTTATTAGTTTATTTTACCAATCTCATGGCATGTCAAACTCTCCAAATTCATTAAAACCTATTTTTGTAGTGTTTTGTATTATGCGCTTGTTCCCGCTCCATAAAAACTGATTACATGTTAAGCATGCTGCAGTTGGTAAGCATAATATTAAAAGAGGGTAAAGAACGAAAAATCTAGTAGAACTCGATGCATGCTCGGTATGTTATACCTAAAATGCAAGATTCGACGGCTAGGTCATCTCAGTGTTTTGTGATGCAAAGTTTTTGGAAAATTTGACTACGTGAGAAATTGAGAATAGACTCTAAAACACGACTAACTCTAACGAAAAGGAAGAGAAAAACCAAGTTACTTGTCAAACACAGAAAGCCCATACAAAATGTTCGTCGAAAAGTCCTAAAAGTAAAGATATTTGTTGCCAAAAATATCATACGCAAAATTATTAAAAGGTTATAAAAAAAAAATTGATCCCAACGAAATCTCGGCAAAGTAAGCTAAGGTAAAAAAACCTGTTATACATAAAAAATATTTTTAAACTGTCATCAAATGAATATCAAATTAAAAACAAACAGTTTATATATACATATATTCTACAAAGTTTTCTTGTTAGTCTAGTCACATCCTATAAAAAACAAACTACTATAAATTTAAATTAAAACTTGATTGTGGCATCTACCACCAAAATTTCTCCAACAAAAACAAAACCAAGAAAACATATATTTATATATAAAACAAATTGTACAAATGAGACAAGGAAATCAAAATGAAGAGAGAGATGTTGGTGGGGACGGCATCGACCATAGCCATATGGGTTTGCTCCACCGTCCGCAACCCAATTTACCGCCAGGGCCTACCATTTTTCGTCGGCCGATCCATTTCTCCGGCAGCTAACGTCCCACAACCACAAGTCAGCCACTCGTCTCATTTAATATATATATAAATTACTACTACTTATCT